GTGTGTGTGTGTGTGTGTGTGTGTGTGTGTGTGTGTGTGTGTGTGTGGTTGGGGTGGAGGTCCTTGGGAGCCTGGGCATTAAATTAATTCTGGGTCTGTGTGTAAAAGGTCAGGTTTCTGCTCTATAAGTCTCTCCCAGCGTCCTCCCCTACCTTAGCCCAGGCACAGACGAGGTCTGTTTGGTTGACACAGGATTGTGGACGTGGGTGGCCAAAAGTCTGAACGGAAGAAATGGATTCACTGTTTTGAAAATGTCATCGCTCTCATCTACCTGGCATCACTGAGCGAGTATGACCAGTGTCTGGAGGAGAATAACCAGGAGGTCAGTCTATCAACTAGTATTTATCGTTGTTCAGTCATTTTCAGTCGTGTCTGACTCTCCCTGACCCCTTTTGGGGTTTTCTTGGCCGAGATAGGAGAGCAGTTGGCCATTTCCTTCTCCAGCTCATTTTACAGATGAGGAAACTGAGGCAAACAGAGTTAAGTGACTTGCCCAAGGTCCACCCAGCTAGTAAGTGTCTGAGACTGGATTTGATCTCAGGTCTTCTTGATTCCAGGCCTGGCGCTCTATCCATTGAGCCACCTAGCTGCCCCCCATTAAGACCCTACTATGTGCCTGGCACTGTGTTAAATGCTGGGGATACAAAGAAAGAAGAAAGATAGTTCCTGCCCTCAAGGAGCTAAAAGTCTAATGGGGAAGATAACATGTAAACAACTGAATACAAAACAAAATGGGGGGATTAGTCCCAGAGGGAAGGCACCAAGATTAAGGACAACTGAGGAAACATCTCCTGCAATGTGAGTGAGTAAGGGAAACCAGGAAGTGGAGATGAGGAGAGAGAGGGTCTTAGGCATGGGGGAAGGGCAGCCTGAGAAAGCCCTCCGAGTTGGGAGATGGAGTGTTGGAGGATCCAAAGGAGGCCGGCATTACTGGAGTCCAGAGCATGTGATGGGAGTAAGGGATAAGAAGCCTGGAAGAGCAGGAGAGGGTTGGGTTATAAAGGGCTTTAGAAGCCCAACAGAGGATTTTAAATTTGATCCTGAAGGTCATAGGGAACCACTGCAGTTGATTGAGTAGGGGCATGACCTGGTCAGGGCTGTGTGTTAAGAACCCAATGGGCAGCCACATGGAAGATGGGCTGGAATGGGGAGAGATTGGAGGCAGGAAGACCAACCAGGCATGAGGCGATGAGGGTCTGTATCCTAGGAGAAAAGGGCGGGGAGGAGGGAGGTCAGGTCGGTCCTTGGGAGTGCTATCTGTCCCCCAGGTAGGGGTCTGCCTGGATACTCATCTATGAGACATTCACTTATAGGACACACACAGTCCCAGGTGGGTCCTTGGGTGCTCATCATCTGCCGCACACACTGAAACGCCCCCGCTCCCAGAAGGTGATCTGTCACCCACAGAGACACAAGCAGTCTTGCTTCCACACAGATTCACAGTCTACTTGGACATGATTCCATGTGTTGTCAGGTGCATGCGATCAGTCAGACTCACGTATATCAGTCTCTCACATAGACAGCCGGGGCAGCCACTTGAAGACAGTCCTACAACCTAGCATCACAGAATCTCAGAGTTGGAAGGGACCTTGGGGTTCATTTGGTATAAATCAGACTTTGACAAGGCTCCCCCTCTGCAACACCTCCTAGTGGTCCTCCAATCTTTTTTTTTGGGGGGGGCAGGCAATTGAGGTTAAGTGACTTGCCCAGTGTCACATAGCTAGTAAGTGTCAAGTGTCTGAAGCTGGATTTGAACTCAGGTCCTCCTGACTCCAGGGCCGGTGCTCTTATCTGCTGCGTCACCTAGCTGCCCCCATCTAGTTTTTTCTTGAAGATGGAAAAGCTGGATGTGGACCTGTGATTTTATCAATGTAGGAACACACACACACACACACACACACACACGCGCACACACACACACACACACACACACACACACACACACACACACACACCCCTTCTTAGGCCAGTAGGAATAAGATTGAAAGTCAAGAGAATCCAGGACTACACCTGTCCTGTGGACCTCAGTTTTCTCATGTGTAAAATGAAAGCATTGGATGGGAAGGTTTCTAAGGCCTTCTGTTTTAACGTGTTATATTCTAAGGTCTTGCGAGTAGTAGTTTCCCAGTATGGAAATGTCTTCTCCTAATGTTGATCCATCATTTGTTTGTGTCTTAGAGCCACAAACTGAGGAGCTGAGAAGTTAATGGCTTACCTCCATCCACTCTGCCATCTGGCCTCTCATATTTACCTAACGTGACATAATTGTAGCTCACATTTATCTAGAACTTTGAGGTCTTCAACAAATTCAACGCACCTTATCTTGTTTGAACCTCACAATAAGGCAGTGAGGCCACCCAAAAGAATTTCCTTCATTTGACAGAAGAGGAAACTGAAGGCCAGAAAAGTGATTTGATTTGTTTAGGGTTACCTACCTTAAGATCCTACGATGGAAGCAGGATTGGAACCCAGTACACCCTGTGCTATATCTGTGGTCTCCAAAGTGGGGGCTGTGAAATAACCCTAGGGAGACCATGCTTGACCCCCTGGGGTACGTCCCTTGGATCAACTAATGGGAGGGGGGAGATGGGTTGCAGCCCAACCTCTCCCTCTTTCCATAGCCAGCTGTGGACTTCTGTTCAGCTACAATACCCCCTTAACCACCTTCCCTTCCTTGACCCCTCCTACCTTTGGCCTTCTGGGGAAGTGCAGCTGTAAACTATTCTGACCCAAAGCAAATGGGCAGCAAAATTCCTGATAGGGGAGCCCTCTGCCCCTCTCCTGTGCCTGGGTCTCCACACCCTGCCTCCCCATCACCTTGTGGCTAGAGCAAGTGCTCCCTCAGCGGTGAGGTTCCGGAGCAGTGGCTAGTGAATAAAGCTCCCTTATGCCTGTTCTTTCTTTCTTTCTTTCTTTCTTTCTTTCTTTCTTTCTTTCTTTCTTTCTTTCTTTCTTTCTTTCTTTCTTTCTTTCTTTCTTTCTTTCTTTCTTTCTTTCTTTCTTTCTTTCTTTCTTTC